TTTCGCGTCTTCTTTCGCGAAACTTTCGCGAGTCCTTTAAACTAGCTGAAATGGTCGCCCAAGTATAAACCGAAGACAAGGACCTTTAGAACAACCCTCAGAAATTGTCTGATTTTTCTGAGGCTCGCACCTCGCACCTACCGAGCTGGCAGAGCGGAGTGAGTGGTTGGAGGCTGCACGAGCCAACGCTGCCTGGAAGCAACTTAAGGTTTCCAACAACTCTTCCAGCAACGCTTCTGCCTCGTGCAGAAATGCGAGTGCACTGACGTGAATTGAGTCTGTTAACGACAAGTTGAAGCTGAGTCCAGGCTGCATGCCATACCTCTGGGAGATGCTTTAGTGGTTTCATAGCATCTGGTCAGTCAGTTGGTGCAGGCTTTTCCATCTGAAAGATACAGTGCACTTTGAGCCCTTGCAACTCTGCTTCATATCAATCTGATGCCAACTGGACCTCTGAAGCCTAAGGGGTATTAGCCTTAGCGGCTTACCAGCCCACCGAGCATGACACACGTAGGTATGGGAAATGGTCGGAACTGAACGATTCAACCTCAACCCCCCGCGCCCCCCGCGCCCCCCGCGCCCCGGCAACCGCCGCGGAGGCCGAACTGCGCGGTGTCACCGCGGAGCCCAGAGACACGGCCTTGGTCCGGTTGCTACCGTACAATAGATGCAACTTCGTCATGTAGGACATTCCATGCTCTGAAGAATGGCCTAGGAAAACTCTTGAAAGGCCGGCCTCAAGGATGCCCTTGCAAAACTGAACCAACTATGGAAGCATGCCACTGAAGGTTGTATCCAGCAATGGCCAGATAGAAGATAAACCCTAAGCCCCAGACCTTAAACCAGATAAAGGTGCCCCGGGTTCGCCCGTGAGGGAAAGTCAACTGACACTTGGCAGTTGCAGGCCAAGGGCGGCTCAAACCCATGTAAACCTAGTCTTGGCTAGGGTTTAAGCTTGAGGCTATAGGAGGTTTTTCGGGTGTTGGATTTATGGGGTCAAGGGTTCAGGGTTTGGTGTTGGTTGAAAGCTCATGCGTTTTGGGACCAATTCACAGTCGGACTATACTTTATTTCCAGGTCCATTCTAAGGATCCATTCTGGTGCTAACTCCTACACCTGATCCTGAACCCCAGACCCGGACTATGAATGGGAGGACTATTTTGTTATGAGTCCCCTCCCCTAGCCCCGCACCCTCTAACAATAAATACCGCCAACGGAGGGCCATCGTACAACAGGGCGAGCCAAATGCCCTGAACCCCACACCCTAAACCTAAACCCCAAACCCTAAACCCCAAACCCTAACTAAACCCTAACCCTAAACCCCAAACCCTAAAGCCAAAACCCTAAACCCCAGACCCTAAACCCTAAACCCCAAACC